TGTTAGAAAAGCGTCCAAAGACACTGTTCTGATCACTATTTCATTTCACATAAGTCCTAACTCCATCTGACAGTTCCTATCTGTTACCCAGCTGTCATTCAGTTGTTTATCTGTCAAACTCTCTTATTATTCTTGTTGTGTTGATACACATCTGACAGTTCTTATTGTTCTTATTATCTTACAACTCTTATTGTTCTTTCACATATATATAGTGTAGCTAATTTTCTTAAAGTCCCCAGTTTCTAACTCAGAACTTCAGATCAGTAGCACAGTCTTATTTCAATCAAACTAGTTTTTAACTCAGGACTTCAGCTTTAGGTGTTTTTCATTGACTACTGTGTTTTACCTGTTTTAACAGAGAAAGGAAAAGGTATTAAAACAGGCAAAGCACAGTAGTTAATAGAAGACATCTAAAGTTGAAGTCCTGAGTTAGAAACTAGTTTGATTGAAATAAGACTGTGCTACTGACCTGAAGTCCTGAGTTAGAAACTAGGGACTTCAAGAGAATTAGCTATACTATATATATGTGAAAGAACAATAAGAGTTGTAAGATAATAAAAACAATAAGAACTATCAGATGTGTATCAATACAACAAGAACAATAAGAGAGTTTGACAGATGGATAGCTGGATGATAGCTGGATGATAGCTGGATGACAGATTAATAACTGAGTGACAGATGGGAACTGTCAGATAGAGTTAGGACTTGTGTGGAATGAAATAGTGATCACAATAGTATCTTTGGACACTTTTCTAACAAAAGAGAGATAAGTTAAAAAAGAAAATGGAGTCATTGGAGAATATCAGGCATCAGTTTCAAATGCCATCCAAAATCCTTGTAAACATGCTTAGTTACTTCAGCCTCTCTTACAGCCTCTCCTTTCATTATAGCTCTCCTAATTTTATGCTGCCAAATTTCTCTTTCAGGGACCATCTAACCTACCACTGCTTTCCTTTAAAATCAAATATAATCTTCTACTTTTCACTGTATTTTAATATTAAACATAACATTTATTGTACTTCAAACTTTTGAAAAAGACAATTCTTGCAATGTTTGACCTTGTTGCTATATCAATTTTATACTACATTGCTATTAAATTCTAAAAAGTTTAATTAATTTGTTTTATTTTAATCAGATTTCAAAAGGGAGAGAAATGATAGCATTTATAAGTTTTTTTAGTATCTGAGATTTTTAAGATAACCTATTAATAGTAGAAGTTCTTATAGCATTTATAAGTTTTTTTAGTATCTGAGATTTTTAAGATGACCTATTAATAGTAGAAGTTCTTAGAAATTGTTAAACTATATTTTATTTAGTTTTTACTAAAAAGTCAAGAAAATATTAAATAGACAAGAAAATAAACAAATTAGTGAAAAACTTAAGAATAATAAACTGAAGTATCCATGTAAACAATATGTAATATAATGTAAATCTACTTACTGGGTAACTGATACATAATATAGTATAAATTTACTTCTAAAGCCTTTTCACTTCTGCTTTTTCCCAACTTTTCTCTAATTTTATTTGAAAAAAAGATTTATTAAAAATTATAATAATGGCTTTGTGACTAGTAATAATATGCTCCTGATCAGTGACAATATTTACATACTCAATAATAATATGTTCATAGTCAACAATAATGACATATTTATAGCTAGCAATAATAATGTATCTACAGCTAACAATAATATATCCTTTACACTTAAAAAATGATATATAGTAAAACAGAGTGTAGAAGAGGAAGTATCTACTAGGCTTTTTATAAAAAATAAATCATATAAAAAAATAATTAAGATAAAAACTTACTGTGTACTGTATAAAATTGATTTCTAGAATTTATAGACAATAAAAAAACTGTTCATCAACAGTTTATATTCATTTATTTTATCATTTCAAATAATTATAAATAGTTTCAACTTTACTATTTGTTCTTCTCCTATCATGTATATTTTAGGTATTTCTGTTGTCTAAACAGATAACAAGTTTTACTGTTCTAAGTTTAAATACAGCAAGTCAAGCCCTTACTTAGAGACCATGTATAAGATTGATTTCTCTATGTACAAAATTGATTTCTAGAGTTTATAAACAATAAAAAAACTATTCATCAACAGTCTATATTCATTCATTTTACTATTTCAAATGATTATAAATAGTTTCAACTTTACCATTTGTTCTTCTTCCATTATGTATATTTTAGGTATTTTTGTTATTTAAACAGATAGCAAATTTTACTGTCTTAAGTTTAAATACAGCAAGTCAAACCCTTACTTAGAGACTATATACAAATACAAGAAGATTTATTTATACAATAAAATTACTTTTACCAAGAAATACTTATTTATCAATTTTAATAGTATTAATATATATAATACAAAAATTAATGACTTTTTTAATAAGAATAGTAACAAAAAAGATCCTTTAGTTTTACTACTTATTTATAGTTATATCTATTTGTCTCCTATTCTATTTTTAAGCTTTAAATTTATTTTAATAACCAAAAGCAAAGATAATTTTATCTAATCAAATAAAACTTATTTTTGTATTTATAGTTTTTTACCAGTGTTAAGTTTAATAGAAATAATCAATAGCAGTTGTGCTATACTATCATTTTTTAAGTACTACTTTAATCTGTACTTTAAGACTATTTAGAGCAACTATCACATATTATTAGAAAAGTATCTAAAAACATTATTTTAATCACTATCTTATTCTATACAAGTCTTAACTCTATCTAACAGTTTTTATCTGTCATTCAGAAATCAAGTGTTAAGTTTATGAAAAAAATTATCAATACATTAAGTTCAAATTTTTCAGTTTATCAACTATCTACATCTATATAAAATACATATAGCAGAAAGACTATTATTATGTCAAAGAGAAAACAAATATTTACTGAATTTCTTAGTTTAATAATTAAATTATAAACATTAATTAAGGAGAGAAAAAACATATAATAACCATTTTAGAATTAAAGAAAGCTACTAGGGACTTTATTTAGAGTGTTTATAATATTATAAAAAAGACTTTTATGCTAAATTTCAAATTTATACTAAAACTTATAAAAAAGATATAAAATAATTTTAAGTCTTCAAGATTCTTCTTTAACCAGCTGAAAAATAAAACTATCTTTGACATTCATATTTAGAATTTTATAGTTTTTTAGTAAAGTAAGTTAAACAAGAAATTTAATAAAATTACCACTCACACTTACCACTTGCTGAATTAAATTTAAGTAGTTTCAAATTTACTTTTAATTTATTTTATACTTACTTGTAACATCTTTCTAAGACTGACACAAATATCCAAGTTAATTTTTTAACTATACAATGACTTTCATACAATATCTGTATTCAAGCTAATTTTTTAACTATACAATGACTTTTATATAAAATCTGTATTTACTGAAATAGTTGTATTTTTGTAACTAATTCTCAGGCTAAGCAGCTCAATCAAGAAAAAAAAATTAAAATCTTTTGATTACTCAATCTTAAATTAAGCATTCATTTAAATATTATCAGCCTACTTGATAAACTTTAAATTATAACCAAACATTACAATATTTATGTATTTGCACAGTCTACTTATTATAAAAGAAATAGGATCACTGCTGATTTTTTTTTATTATAGTGCAAAGATCAATAATTTCCTCCTGAAATCCAATTTTAGTTCTGAAATTTAAATATTGCACCAAGTTATAATTGCTATCTTGTTAGAGTATTTCTTGAGTCTTATGGGTAAACCCAATATATATCAAAAAGAAAAAAACTCTCCAGATGATTATCAGTCTTAGTATAGTTCCTGGACTAGCTAAGTAAATTATGTCATAAATAATTCTGTCTAAAAAACTAGAAGTTCCAACAGAGATTACAAATAACAAATAAAAATTAGTCAAAAAATACAGAAGCTTTATGATTTTTACTTTATAATTCATGAAGATCTAATAGTTGTTATTACTGAAATTAATCAATTCAAGCAGCATGCTTTTACTATTGTTAAACTTCTAATGCTTAGTAGTGGTACTAAGTGTAGTTTGAGATCAATAAAATCAGATCTTAAATATACACTGTGTTTTAAAAATTTAGTAACAATGCTACTTTTTGTATTCAACTCCAGTATTTATCATTCTCATTTCTATAGTTTCATTTTTTATTCAATTGTTTCTCTAATTGCAGAACTCTAATATCCTGCTACTGCTATTGCCATAATTAGTTATAAATTATTTGTTCCTACTTATTTTTATACTTTATTTTCCTTCTCAGATACTGGTAGCTTTTGAAAAATAAACAACAGGCCATTACTAACATTTCAAAAAGTGATTGTACATTGAAGAGTTGATATAAGCCTGTACAAATGAAACTGAATAACTTATAGTACAGTTCATAAATAACAACCCCAAAATTTAAGTAAGATTTTGTTTTTGTATATATTTATAAGCAGTTTACTAGCTGGTTTCACTTTTTTTATAAGCTAACTTCTCAATCTTGAAAAGAAAACTTCCTTTAAGCAGATGAGCTAGAAATGTTATATATCCTATTTTATTCAAATTGTAGAATACATTCTTTTTTTCTTAGGGTACAAACTGTAATATACCTGTGTAAATACCCAGAATAGAAATTATATGTAAAACAAAATTAAGACTCAGAAACAATGTAAGTATGTTAATATAATATGTAATAAGAAAAAACAACAATTTCAAATTGTATATAATAATTTATATAATAAAGTTGAAGCTCCAATACTTAATTAGTACACTACATTAAAAATAAAGTTAGTTCTCAGAATATTTGATAAGCTGCTTCTTTAACTTAATGTTAAAATAAATACACAGTTTTAGCATGTAGCAGAAACTTTTTAACTGATCTCTTATTACTAATAAATACTAATAAAAATAAACTAACTCATAACTGGTAGAGCATAGTTGAGCTCTACCTCCAGATGAACTCTGACATATCTTCAGATTTTGCTACTGGCATCTTAAATCTTGTTAAAATCTAATAATATAACTATATCAGGAATTGAACCTGGGACTTTCTGCAAATATAGACAGGTATTCTAACCACTGAACTAGGTAGTCAAATACAATTTAAAATTGAATATTCAATGATATACCCAAAGCTAATCATAATTTTCTACTATTATCTAAGTGCACTGTGGGAACTGGCACGAGTAGTTTTATGTGGATAACTCAAAGAATCATTCCTATTAGATAACTTGACTCATCATCATCTAACAAGTCTGTGATGCATGAAAAATACCTTTTTTTCCAGCACACTTGCTGTCTTCCTAGTACCCATGCTCTACCTCCACCCTGAGAAGTATGTGCTACAGCTAGTTTGACAGTGCTGTACATGGCAAGATCAATGTGATCAAGTAGGCCAGATTGAGATTGTTAGTGGGTGCTGCTAGTATGTGCTTTAAAAAGTTTCTGGAACAGAATAGTATCACAGACAGTGTTATTGAAACAAAACCAGCCCACAGAACTCCTGTAGTAGATTATATTTTAGCTGTTCCTAGCTTGGAGTCTTCTACACCTCCATATAGCATAAACTTAATATCATTGAAGTGAAGGCAATTTCTCCCAGCCTAAAATGATTAGGTCAAGTGAATATATCATATCGAAACCAAGTCAGCATAAGGTTACATGGGGAAAAAAGGATCAGAATGATCCAGAGAATGAGTACTTGCATTTCCAGCAAATTCTGTGCTATTTTTGGACTTGTCATCCTTGGAGGCATTGCCAGCTGTATTAGCTTGTTTCTGATGCCTTTTACCTTTGTTAAAGCATGCCTTAGCCTGCTGCCTTGCATTCTGTTAGAAAAGCATTCAAAGACACTATTCTGATTACTATCTCATTCCACACAAGTCCTAACTCTATCTGATAGTTTATATTTGTCACTCAGCTGTCAATCTATCAATCTGTCATCCAGCTGTCATCCAGCTATCCATCTGTCAATCTCTGTTATTGTTCTTATTATAATGATATACATCTGACAGTTCTTATTATTCTTATTGCCTTACAACTCTTATTATTCTTTCATATATATATAGTGTAGCTAATTCTTCCTGAAGTCCCCAGTTTCTAATTCAGGATTTCAGGTCAGTAGCACAGTCTTATTTCAATCAAACTAATTTCTAACTCAGAACTTCAGCTTTAGGTGTTTTCTATTGACCACTGTGCTTTGCCTGTTTTAACAGGTTATGGGCTCTGAACTCTAAACCTATCAAAGTTCATTTATAGCCTATTACACTGCTTCAGAGCTTTCTGTGACAGTGTTTTAGTCCTTATAGTGCTGCAGCTCCCTCTATATACACAGACTCTGAACTATTGGGTGGTGTCCCTTAAGTGGGGCCATTTCCTTTTGCCAGTGAAGCCTA